AAACTGAATAGATTTGTACTGTTGTTGGTTTAATGGCTGCGTTCTGATATGAAGGAATCCAGGCAGCAGGAGAGGAATGCTGGCATAAATTCAGCTAAAAAAGGTTTCATACTTTAACCATCTGGTTAAAACACCAATAAACACGTAATTCTCACCTCTTTAATCTCTGTGAATGTCTGATACACTGCTTTCCCATCGTCTCCCCTCTTCCATGGCGGGGGGACCTCAGCGATGGTGGCAGGCTGTTTCCTCGTGGTGACGGGAGATTTTACCGGCCTGGAGAGGAAGACCAAGAGGGGAGGAGCTTCACTAATGGAGCTCCATGGTTGTTCCTAACAGTTAACAGAGCTACTTCAGGTAGACATCACAGACTGGAGGCTCCACCCACCTGACGGGTGAGGGCGTTGGCGCCTTCACGTGTCTGACTGGCGACGGCGACTGTTGGCGCCCTGCGGTCACCTTGGAGACCAACGAGGGCTGGGTGGGAGACTTTGACGAAGGTTTGGGTGGAACTCTGGGTGGGGTCTTGTGACCAAGAGTCTGAGTCAGTTCAAATTCCATCTTCTGAGGAGAAACACACCAAACCCAGGGCAGATTAGACCAGAATAACAGAGATTAGATGGTGATTAATTAAGGAGGAATGAGATGAAACCCCCGGTTCAGACCAGATGACCTTATTGCCGTAGACTGACTTACCTTTTCAACTCTTGTGATTCTTGTCTGGGAAATCTGAGAGGCTGAAATCACTGTCTTAGTTTTCTTAGCTGGAACCGGTTCTTCACCTGAACACAAACATTCGGTTTAGGTTCTGATCACATCAGCAGCAGTTGGAACCCGTAGAAGCGAACAGAGCTCACCTTGGACCAGCAGTTCACAGGTGGACGTGGCCCGTCCACTGCTGTTGGTGGCTGTCGCAGAGTACGTCCCAGAATCCTCTGGGAAGGCCTCGGCGATCAGCAGACTGTAAAGGTCTCCGTCCTGAAGGATCTGGAAGTCTGCAGAGCTCTGGATTTCGGCTCCCTCCCTGTAGAACTTCACTACAGGAGTGGGGATCCCTGTGACTCTGACATTCAGCCTCACCTGGCTGCCCTGCCTCACGGTGGAGGTCTGGAGCCTTTGAAGGAAGGTGGGAGGTGCTGTCTCCGCTGCAGCAAAAAAAGAAAAAACACTGTGAAAACACTGAGAAAGCCCCTTCCCAGTCAAATGCCAGCCAAACGGCAGCCCCCTCCCCTGCAATTCCAAAGCAAAATCCCCTCAAACTTAAAGCCACTGGCCTTCTCCTGGGTGTACATATTTCTTTACTCTGACTCCAACCTTTCACTAAATTACAGGGTCTGACCAGAAGATGGCGCTTCTCATTCTTAATGTCCACAAATCATGACATTTTAGTTGTTCTCATTTGATGTTTAAAGGATTGTAGGAGAACAGCCAAGAACCAGCCAAGCACCAGTCAAGGGCCAGCCAAGGACTAACCAAGGGCCAGCCAAGGACCAGCCAAGGACCAACCCAGAACCAACCAAGAACCAGTCAAGGGCCAGCCATGGACCATTAAAGGACCAGCCAAGGACCAACCAGGGAACCAGCCAAGGGCCAGCTAAGGGGCCAGCCAAAAACAAGTCATTGGCCAGTCAATGGCCCATTAGGGAAAGTTGGGAATTTTGGAATGGCCAATACTGTATGTTAAACTGTTCAAATGTAAAATGCGTTCCTTAGATTTTGCTGAAAATTAACAAGCTTTATTTTGCTGCAGATCATCGTGAAGATGCTAAATGGTGGATGTTATAAGAAACGGTGCTGGAGCAGATCATCCTCCCAGTCCTACCTGTAACCAGGAGCTCAGCGGTGCTGGTGGCTTGCCCGGCGCCATTGGTAGCTCTGACAGAGAAGCGTCCGCTGTGTGCGGCGGTCACAGCGGGGATCCTCAGAACAGCGCGGCCATCGCTGAACGAGATCTGGACGCCGGGTAGAGCTGCGGCGGAAAGAACCTGGCCATCACGGAACCAGCTCACCTCAGGAACTGGAGAACCTGCAGAGGACAAGGACCAAGAGTCAGCAGCAGAAACTTTACTGAATACATTCTCATGTTTTATTAGAGATCAAACAGGAATAAACTTTCAAAAATTTGGAAATTTTATCTTTATTTAGTTGCACTTGAATAAAAGTAAAGTCTAAGTAGCAGGTATATCGATGATGAATTTGAATCGGTAGCTAAACTGGCTTATTTCTTAGAAAGTAAAAACATTTCCAAATATTTCAGATTTTTATTACCGGTAACTATTGATGTGAAAATATTCACACTTTAAGACATTATGACTTTATTGTTTTTGATCACTCTGTTAGCTTTATTTTTCAACATATTTAGCTTGTAGCTTTTAAGAATGACCAGTGGAACCTGGTGCCCATCAGTCTGAGACCTGCGCCATGATGATGCTTCTTACCACTGATCTGAGCCTCGAACGTCGCGGCACTACCCTCCAGTGCCACGACGCTCTGTAGCGGCTGTGTGAACGTTGGTGCTTGTGTTGACATGTTGGTCGGCACCCTGGAACAGAGAGAAAGACATTTAAAGAGCTTCATCAGGAGAAAAACATCCAGAGAAAACAGCAAATAATAATGACACCTTTAACATCCTTAGCTATCGTTACCATAGGCAACCAGCAGATGCCGCCAGATCTCCCTCATAGAAGCTGATTTTAAAGTGAAATCCTTAAGGAGGCCAAATGTTGTTGTGTATATATTTAATGTTTTTGCATCTGGAGCGTGAACAAAAGTTATTTACCTCTGGGATTATTAAAGTATTTCTGAATCTGATGTTTCTGTTCTTTAGATGCAGAAATATCAGACTCTCCTCTTAATGTAGATCATCCTCTATAGAATATCTTATTTTTCACAGTTTGCTACATTTGATTATTAAACTATTATTGGAATATTATTTCCCTCCTTTGTTTCCTAAATTCCCTTCATTTGTTGTTCATGTTTACTGTTGATTTAAATACTAATGGACGAATCTGTGCAGCAACAGAAAGGATTCACTTTAAATTTCCATTCTCTACGTTTTCCTTTGAATACACCTGAGCTTTAGCTTCAGAAACAGATGAGATAAACTGAAGAAATCCACTAGTCACATCGACTCAAAAGTCAAAAAGAAGGTGCCAAAAGGAGCAAAAAGGGGTTGGGGTGTAAACAGTATGTTACCATATATATATATATATATATATATATATATATATATATATATATACAGGCTTGGACTGGGAAAGATTTTCAGCCCTGACATTTTGTGCCTAAAATGTGAAACACAATACGAATCCACATTGTGGATTGGAACCAATCTATCTTCAAGCATCACATGACAACCATCACCAAGACTTCTAGAATGCAGTCGGTTCCCAGATGTCGCTGACACATGTTTTCCTGCCCACAAAATGTTCATACACCGCCTGGATATATGAAAATCTCACCCATTTTGAACCAAAGTATATTGATCTCTAAGGCTACAAATCTAAAGAAAAACATTTTTTACCCATAGACAGCCATTCTGAACTGCCAGATTTGGAAACATCCCAACCTGGCAACAATGCATGTAAGACGGGAAACATTAGCTTTTAGATGAAAAACCCCATCATGCACCGCAACATATTTTGGCAAAATATTTTTATATGAATTTGAAAATTAAAATCCGTACTGATTTATATCCTCAGTAATCAGTGGCCTGACAGCCATCAAATCCTAATATTTGCTGACCGGCTTGCTGCCTGTTTTCACTGAGTTTCTGCTGAACTGTTAAAGCTTCAAAAGTCTTTGAGCCTGGAAGGCCTCCATGCCATCACCCTAATCCTTATCCTGTCCTTAATCTGCGTCACAACAACCATATTCCTTCCAGTCAGAAGAAACAACTTCATCAAATCATAAGATCAACTAAAACCTAAAATAGGTGGAAAGATTCAATGAAATATCTACATTTCTTAGAAACAATGATGAGTCTTCAGACTCTGCAGGCGCAAATATTAGATTTATTGCATAGAAATAGAATTAATAGCTGCTGATTAACTTGCTGGTTTGATCTGATCCTGTTTGAATGATGTAGAATCAACTAAATATTCAAAAAATATCCACTGGACTTGGTTTTCAAGATTTAAAGACGTTTCGCCACCTCTCCAGGAAGCTTTCTCAATTCAAATGACATTTGAATTGAGACCTGGATGACTGAGAACCTTCATCAGCAATCAACTAAATAACAACAAAAGTTCCTTAAACTGAAGGCAGCTTCCAGTCCTGTAACGTCCAAATCCATGAGATGAAGGTAAGAGCATAGATCTAGAAAAACTAGATGGTTAAACTTATAGGATACATTTTCATTCATAAAACAGCAAAACAGAGATGATGAAGCTGCAGGTGCTGCTCATGATATGTGAG